CATTAAAAAATAATTTAACTTTTGGGGTCCTGACTGGACTACGTGGGGGCCCACAGGAAAAAAAAAACAGCGCTGGAAATAGTACTCAAATTATGAAGGATGTTTGTTATAATTGTGCGTCTGACATGCGTATTCATACAACTGCTCACAACAGTTAACACCACCGGCTAGCAAAAAGCTACAGTATTATGTAGATCACATGAGGGTTTCTGGGGCAACAAATCGATCTAGATAGGTTTCATTTACCAAAAATCATTGCTTCACCTAACTAACAACGCCATCTGATAAAAACCCGAGGTCAACCAGGTACTTCAGTTTTTAAATAAAAGGCGCGTTGATTCAATGGATATGTTCTTTTGAGCGGCGCCAGTTTAGCTAACGTGTCACCTTAAGTTGGTACCATACGGCCAAGATTACAAGTTAACCTCATGTTAGCCGGAAACCCCAATGATAAAGCATCCTAGGAAAATCGGGCTTTGGAAGGGTACACTAATCCCTCTTTAGCAAAAACGCTCCGTTCCAAAAAGTGACGGGTGGGTTCCAAGGGATCTTCATTACTCGAACATGTTGTTAGTTCCCTTAGGGTAAGTATCGCATATATTTTTTCGAAAATGTGGCCTAAGCGTCGCCTTTAGAATAAAACTTAAATTAAAAATTTAAAGGAACCCCCGACTTTCAATCCCTTAAAAAGTTAAAAATTATTTATTTATTCAACAAAATATTGTAAACCAATACTCCAACGCGTCAGGGGGCCGCTAAGTAAACAATATAGGTAAGAAGTTTCAATAAAATCGTAAGACATACTTGTATGGAATGAAATGACATTTGCAACTAATATGTTTTGTTTATTATGCTTTGTAAACTTCTTACTTATATTGTTTACTTAGCGGCCCCCCGACGCGTTGGAGTATTGGTTTACAATATTTTGTTGAATAAATAAATAATTTTTAACTTTTTAAGGGATTGAAAGTCGGGGGTTCCTTTAAATTTTTAATTTAAGTTTTATTTGAAGCTTTTTAAATTAATATTTTGTTTCTGACTTCAAACAACAAACAACATGATTTTTAAGCGCTTACTATCTCAATAGCATTTTAACCGGCGGTTCTACCCGCTGCTGCTTAAAATTTTTTTATGACAATAAAACTTAGCTTAACAATCTAATTTTTTTGTGTAAATTGACACAGTGATCTTTTGTATATCGTATAGGACAGAGAAATAGGCAAGACAGGGAAAAGCAGGGTAACCTGAGTGACCGCGCCGCGAGTGAATCGAGCGCAAAATTCTACAAAGATTTTTGTGTTTTAATAGAGTTTTTTGAATTAGAATAACCTGATGAATAAGTACGTCAACTTAGTTTTAAAAGCAACAAGCATGGAAAGCGTAGCACAAAGAAAGACCGCGAGCGAAGCGAGCGCAAATTTTTTCGATATTTACTAAAAATTATCTGGATTATTCAGTAGATTACTTTATAAAGTCTCTTTTCCTACATTGCCAAAAAAAGCAAGCAGGGTGAAGAAAACAACGTTGAGCAGAAGCAGAACAAAAAGTTTTCGAGCAAAGAGAGCAAAATAGATGTTAATTTCCTTTTTAGTGATGACATTTGGGGCTTGTAACATTTCGAAAACAGACGTTCGCTTATTCTGTGAGCCTCCCTCAACCCCGGCAATAGCACTTAGTGCTTGTAAGAATCCTGCAACAGTCGTTTGAAGTCTTCTTCTGTGAGGGGGGGCAAGCCCCCCTCTACCCCCCGGTAATGACACTTGGTGCTTGTAAGAATCCTGCAACAGACATTTGACGTCTTCTTCTGTGAGGGGGGCAAGCCCCCCTCAACCCCCCGGTAATGACACTTGGTGCTGTAAGAATCCCGCAACAGACGTTTGACGTCTTCTTCTGTGACGGGGGTAAGACCTCCTCAACCCCCCGGTAATCACACTTGGTGCTGTAACACCGGTAATGACACTTAGTGCTTGTAAGAATCCTGCAACAGATGTTTGACGTCTTCTTCTGTGAGGGGGGCAAGCCCCCCTCAACCCCCCGGTAATGACACTTGGTGCTTGTAAGTATACTGCAACAGACGTTTGACGTCTTCTGTGAGGGGGGCAAGCTCTCTCAACCCCCCGGTAATGGCACTTAGTTCTTGTAAGAATTCTGCAAAAGACATTTGACGTCTTCTTCTGAGGGGGTAAGGCAAGCAAAAATTTTAGATGATTTTTACAATATTTCCCAAAATAAATCTGTATTATTTAGTACATTTGTTTGTAAAGTCTCTTTTCCTACATTGGCAATAATAAGTAAACTGTGAAGAAAGCTAGGTTAAGCAGTCCTCGAGCAAAGCGGGCAAAATTTAGTACGGGTTTTAAATAAATTTTCTACATACCTAGGTATTTAAGCAAGGAACTTATTCACCCAGGATAAAGCACAGGTACAGGTACTCATAGGTACATACAGCAGTATTACATATAACTTTTGTATATTACTAACTTAGTAAACATGTTATACCTACGCGCAGGTTTTAAGTAATAGATCTTTTATCTACCTATTTCTTGAAGTCAAATAAATACTAGTACGATCATTCAAGTCATACCATATTTTAAAATGTTTAGGACCTCCATAATGTCATTACAAGTCATGCATGGACTTGAAAGATATGACAACTCCGAGTCAAATTAGCTCAAACATGGGGATATAGTGCGTAGTGTGATTCCTAGTCTACCTTCCGTCTCCATCATCAGATTTTCATGAAATATGGCTAAGAACCATCCTGACCATATTAGCTTTTATATAAACAAAACCGCATTGAAATCGGTTCAGTCGTTTCGGAGATACGTTGCCTCAAAGAATCGTAGACACACGGACATACAGACGCGTGAAACTTATAACACCCCTCCGGTTGGTTCGTCGGGGGTTAAAAACTAAAAAGTCATAAGCTGCAACTCGCTTTTCCATGGGAATAAATAAGGTGTATGTCCATGCCATTGAACAACTTTGGAAATTAGGCGTTTTATCTGCGGTGCAACCAATCCCTATTTAGCAAAAACGCTCAGTTCCAAAAATTTACGGGTAGTTCATAACATGTCCATGTTGTTTGTTTACTAAGGCTTAGTTACGCTCCGTTTGAATAAAAACCTTTATAACCGAATACACATGCGGATATGTACCCACAGAATTTGCAATTTTGAAGATCTAATTTTTACAACTGAACTGACACTAGCTGCATGCGGCTGGATCACATTCGGTATCTGTAACTATAGGGAATGTAGAACATTATCTTAGAAAAAATAATGACCGACTGTTTGAAATTATAGCGGCAAAACTTAGCCTATGAGATCCAATTAGGCTTATAGCCTTTATTTCATGATCTTGCCGTTAGGACACGATACGGTTTACATTGCTGGTTGTCTTAAGTGTCTCATAAAAAATGCGCAAGGTCACTGACAATGTAGTCCAAATAGGGCCCTGTTGGCAGGGTCTTTTAATAAGAACCTAAGGGTAGGTAGATTACTTACGGCTTCGTAAAACTTAAAAAACATACCACTCATCGCGGCGGACCCACTGGATGAACCAAATTGTTGTACTGTGGCCGGTTCCTCGCAGACCAAAGTTTTACCTTTGCTTAAAACTTTTGTCAGAATTAATAAAATGAAAAAAAAGGAAATGTTTCGATGCCAAATACAAAATATCGTTTTAAAACATTTTAAAAAGTAACTCATTAGACCTGCCAGTAATGTAAAGAATTTCATGTAAGTACTTACCAACGTTTAAATATATATCGGTAAACTCTGGGCAACAATTGCTACAAGTGTACGACACGAACACACGTTACTTTACTACTCAACAAAATATGAAATTTAATTCAAAAGACTTTACGTTTTATGTTTTCCACCAGCTCCAATATCGCGCGGTGTCCTTAAAATAATATTACTTTTCCATACAATGACGTCATAAAAAGATTCACTGCTTCGCCTTCCACGTATTTACCTTTGGAAAGTTATATTCCCTATGGCGAGGCCACAAAATAGATAATTTGCAGAAGGTGAGATCGCCCCTTTTTCTGATCATTTATACCTACACTCTAGGGTTACTACTTTTTCTTTCTGAATTTTGGTAATGAGGTTTTTGGGCTACACATATTTTGAGACATTACTTACATTAAATCACACACACTAACACTATGACACAATACAAAATTAATATTTGCACTCGACAGTCGTAATTTTGCCGTCCGGCAGCACCGAACGCTGTTGACACTTAACTACTAGCCTGTTTGAGACAAATAGTAGCTGTTTCACGCATAAACGACGACGCATGTAGATGTCTGTGTGAGTGTAGTGATATTTCCTTGTAACCATCTCTCTGTACTGAGCGCTCGCCAATGCTTACTTTGTGGTGAGGCCGGGACCGCAATAATGCACAATGGGCTATCGAATTAACATATTATTATGGTAAAGGAAACTTTCAATACGATAACGATATCACATGCAATTTTTGAGATTGCTTGACTGACCATTTTGGATAGAAGTTTTGTTTTTCAACTAAAAGCATTTGATAGGATAGCTATATAGGGTGAAATTTTGCTAGTGACTGATAGCGAAAACTCAGATCCGGCTGGTGATAAGAAACAACTTTTCCCAAGGAACATAGGTCGGCAATTTTGTAGGGGATGTCCAAATTTTTTTTTCATATTTCGACCTCCTTGGAGAAAGTTGTTGAACAGCTGGTTTTAAGTTTTCGCTATCAGTCACTAGTACAATTTCAGCCACTATGTTTTAGATTTTCGCGGTTGTTCACTACACCGGAATTGCCGCAATCAAGGTTTTATCTGACTCGATATTTAGAAGCGGTTTCACGCGGTTGGCGGCTGACGATCACTAGTCTCAGAACAAAAGTCATCTTACATCCCGCGTCGCAGGTCTTATCTGTGAAGATAGCCCTTTAGAAACTTATGCGAATCGTCGCTTCGAGACGAGCATCAAGACGAGAAATTCACCAGGGTCCGCTAGGCGCCTGTAGCTCCGTTGGCAGAGCGGTGGAACTGTAATCCATAGTCCCGGGTTCAAGTCCCGGCGGTCACCAGTAAATTTTTAAATTTTCTCATTTTCAATTTAATGACTTATGCGACAGTAGCCACATTTACCCACACAATACCATTTAGCAGTAAACAGAAAGCATTACGAGAGTATGCTACAGCTTCGGAAAGCTGCCTGCGTTTGACAGACCCCCGCATTTTGACCACTGGTGGGAGCTCAGCCTGAACGCTAGTCGTGCGCAATGAACAAGCTACGAGTAGAAAATTGATTTAATAATATCTGAGGTTTTGTAATTCTTTTAAGGAAACTGCCTGAGAGTGCAAAAGTCAAGAACTGTCTTCAAGTACCTATTGTGAAATTCAAACAAGCGGCTGATTAACATTACATCTATCTCTACTTATACCGGGGGTAACAGAAATAGTAAAACAATTCAAAGGAAGGCCAGGGTACTCATGAAACTGAAAAAATTTGGTCCTCCTACACGAAATTGCAGATCAGCCGATTGTTTTACTATGAGAGGTCCAAATTCTTTTATGGCTGAGATGAGATGGCCTATGTTCCATGGGGAAAGTGGATCAGTTTCATGAGTACTTGTTTCTTGACCTCCTTTCAGCTTTTTATACCCTTTTCGTTGCTCCCTGTAATTCTACTAATTCCGTCAGTAGAAAACGAATATCAGGACAGTAAGGCATTTTCCTCTCTCCCTACAGTCATTGTCACCCATCGTACGCCCCTTCGACGTGTAATTGAATCACACGATTGCTATCACCAGACAAGTGGAAAAGAATTTAATAACACCCGGCATTACTAAACACTTCGCTCTCAGAAAATATATATAAGCAAGCTATAGAATGCGCCCAACCTGGTATGAACGGTTGACGCAGGTATGAACGCATCCTTTCTGTCCATCAGTATCAAAAAGACCGTTTTACGACTATTGTAAATGATGATGATGATAAAATCCTGTTATCATAGGGCTCGCAGAAAAATTCTCCTCTTCTCTCGATCTTGAGCATCAACCTCCAACTCCTTCCAGCTAAGGCTAGTGGATGCAGACGACTATTGTACAACTAGACGTGTCTATGGAACTTTTGCAATATATATGGCGCAGGTCAATCGTGGATCCGGGTCAATCGTGGATCCGGGTCAATCGCGAATTTCCTAGGCCCATCGCAAAGAGCCAGAGAAGTGCAAAATGCATCGATTTATACACACCTGGCCTAAAAGCTCTAGGTCAAGAACGAATTCGTTAATTAATGGTAAAGAATCTAGGTCAATTACGTATAAAGCGACACGGTCGTAGATGCCTATGCACCTGTTACGACTTTTCAGTGCTTTAAGTTCCTCTACGCCGCCGTATATTTTATTATATAGAAACAATGACCCGGAGCGATACGTGTACTCTATAGCTTGCTTATGTATACTCTAAGATTACGCTCCACTGCTCCACTCGAAACCAGCAATACCATATTCCAGTGGAATAACCCGCGATAGTTTTTATTTAAATAAAATTCCAATAATTTCTTCGCTCAATGCTGAATAGTGATGTGAAAAATATTCGATTACTAAATTAATCAATAATTTACCATAACAGCCACAACAGTCCACTGCTGGACATGGGACTTCCCTTGTCGGGGGGTATTGCCATGCTCACCATGCTTGGCGGGCGGATTGGCGAGCGCAGTGCAAGATGGTGCATTTGCAGGGAACGCTGCTGCCCATTCCCTGGATGATTATAATAACTTAGTCGCTTTTTACGATACCAACAGGTAGAACTGGGGCTATGCTATTCTAAGCAAGCATCACACGGCATAATCAGTAATTTATTCGAATCAAATAAAAAAATATTGTGCAATTGTAATTATTCGACCAATATTCCAGCGATTTTAACAAATACAAATATTTAGATTTTTGGGTAACGTATTTCGCCTAACGAATTGTTTCGGATCTTGCGTAACATCAGTTAAAATACATTATGTACACCTTTTTAGGTTCTTTGTTAATGTTTTTTTCGGTCGTATGATGTTTGTTTAACTTTTCCTGACTAGAAGTAAGTAATCGATTATTAGATAAACGGTAACATCCCTGCTGCTCTATGCGTTTGCCATAGGGAGAATTGAATTCGCAATACCCGGCCAAACCGAATATGTGAGGTATTATTTCAACGGATAAAGGTGAATCAAAACTGTATTGTAAATATCGAAGCCTATACCAATCCCTTTGACAGATAGCTCAAATCTATATTGGAAACGTTTTGTACTGAAAAAGTTCTGCGCTGACCGAAATTCACGTTTTTAACCGCTTTTATTTATGGGCAATGGTTTTCTACGCGTTTAAGTGTCCCATAAATCGTGCATTATTACTGTTTTAGTATCGTATATTCAGATTCTATTTTAAGAAGAAATTCTTAAGAGCTTTTTGCTTCTTTGGTGACATTTTTGGGCAATATTTCCGTAAGAATTCATTGACTTTACCTTTCTACGAGTTTGTCTTGTGATATGGTTTATTTTTGTTCCTTTTGATGGTAAAGGTTTCTTTTTTATTATGGAAAATGTACCAGGAGTGCAGAGGTGGTGTGGAAATAGAACGGGCAATAAATCCGGGAAAGTGACAGAGGAGCGATAACAGGCGATCGCTGGCGTGTGTATTTGATAATGGGCGGTCGACACCTGCCGCACTCCCACCTCAATAAACCACGAAGTGCCAGGACTGACGTGTGTAAGGTTTTAGCTATGACTTACTGAGTCAACTCGTTTCATAATAACTCAAACTAAGATTTATAACTCACAAAAACCCTCTCATCCACTCCGTGGTTTGTTAAAAACCACTGAGTGCCAGAAGTAAGCAAAAGGATATGATGTTGCTATTACTCACTGAGTTAGCTCATTTCATAATGACTCAAATTTCGACAGCTTTCACAGTCGCACCTCAACATATTTTAAAGTACATTACCAAAGAAATCACCACTCCATTATAATGGTTCAAAGTTTGTTAGAGACCAGACCTCAACACAAACTCTAGAATTTATGGTGTGATATTCATCCCAAAATTCCTTGCATTGTCTCGCCATATCAAGCGTACTAATATAAGTTCGTTAGTTTAAAAGGTTTTATGGTAAGTTAAATAGTTTTGGTTTATTAGTAAATTAGGATCGGCCAAGAAAAACCTTTACGCAAGCTAAGAATTAAATCAGTTTTCATCTGAATTCATAAAAAGGTGATTGTTAACACAAAATGGAGATATTTTTACCCCATTAATTTTACCTTCATTCATTTGTTTTGTTAAACTAAAGAAAACCACGGATCCTATATACGTAATTTTACCATAACCCAAGATCTATAATACTTTACCATTTATTAATTGAGCTGAGTCACTCAATGAGTTAAATAACTTTAAAAGCCCATATCTTCCCACATTGTGTGGCTAACTGCCATATTTACATATCTAGATCGATTTGTATCACTTTTTAAGTCAACTGAGTTGAATCAGTAAAAATCGTTTCAACCGTTCTCGTATGGAAACGATTTTTACGTGTGGCTCTCATCCTACCATATCACGTTATATTTTTAGCAGATGTCACAACCGTCTCTTGATTTGAATCAATCTTTGAGTCAGCTGAGTTGAATCACTTTGGAAATCGCCCATCCCTTCTCGTGTGGCTCTCGTCCCGCCATATCACGTTATATTCGGGACATTTTTGGCAATCTTCACAACCGTCACTTGACTTGAATCACTTATTGAGTCAGCTGAGTTGAATCACTTTAGAAACCATCTATCCTTTTTCTCGACGTATGGCTCTCTTCCTAACATATAATGTTATATTTTTTTTTGGTGTCACAAGCTGAGTTGAGTCAGTTTGAAAACAGCCCATCCCTTCTCACGTGGCTCTCGTCCCGCCATATCACGTTATATTCGGGACATTTTTGGCAGGTGTCACAACCGTAGCGTGACCCGGGGCCCGATTCAAGAGGCCCTTACCAAAGCTCAATGTTTGTCTGTCTTTGTGTGGGGTCGGAGGTTAAATGTGTAATAGAATTTATCAAAGGTATTGCCGATATAATGTTTTTGATGTCAGGAAGGGTGAAAATGGTTAAGGTAACGTCATGAAAAGTTTATAAACAACACTGTTCGATTGTCATGATAAGTAATCATCATCTTTACGAATCTCGATTGCTGCGTTCCTCCTATAACTAAGCATTTCAAATAGGTATGCTGCAACCATACAAAGTTTTTAGAATACAAGAAATCTACTAACTACCATAAACTATATTATGAAATTCAGTGAAGGTCGAACGCAGCATCTATTGGGTTTTGAATTTATTACAGTCAATAATAATAACGTAAGTAAGTGGTCTAACATAAAAGACATAAAAAATCTAATATGACAATCATAGAAAATCTACGCACATTAAAAAATATTAATAGGTAGGTATAATTATTATGTTTGCAATCATCTTTGTCTTGGTGCTGTTTTATAAGCTGAGTCCGAGGTTCCAAACCCATTTTATGTAGTTCAAACTAAATGAGTAACACACGCAACGTCGGTTTGTGCGTCGTTCATTCGATTCTCTACCCTACCTGCATAATGAATACGGTTTGTGTCAAACGGCATCGCACAACGCTGCGTTGTCTGTCAAATCGTTTGACATAAACGATTCGTATAAAAATAAGACCGTATTCGTATAAAAATAAGGTGGAAAATCGAACAAACGACGCACAAACGGACGTTGCGTGTGTTCCTCGCCTGAATGTAATTTGAAAGTGTAGCAGAGCAACTAATCCACCTTCGTGATGGATGTAGCTATCTTTGAGAATTGATCGCTTCATCTTTCGAAACTAGCAGGTTTTGTAAAGGCTTATTTAGTCCCAGAGAAAAAATGAACTAGGGTTGTAGTATCCTCCGAAAAAAACGAGAAAATTTAACTGGAAAGCCTGTACCTCACAAAGTTTCAGACGCACTACTTCTAAAATTATCTTCTCACACTACGATTTTATTACTTACCAAATCAATGATAATTCCTGCCCTTATCCCCTTTAAAGTCATC